TTGGAATATTTTCTTGCGATGAAATGTTATCAAAGGCTGATGAATATGACTGACATCTGAAAAAAAATCACAAAGACTGATTGACTTCTAAATTTTAGAATCTCATCAATGCCGGATGTATTTAACGTATATAATTTCCCTATGCCGCACCCATTTGCAGGACTGGTATATATCCGGCGTAGGGATCCCGTAATATGCATCAAAACTGGCAGCTTTCGCTTTTCGATGGAACATCCACGCTTCGAAACGAGTACCGTACGCGCCAGAATGCCCGCACCCCAGCTTACAGGACAGCTCTCTCGCATAATCAGTGGTCAAATCCGGCATTGAGTGAAGTCACGGACTTGAGACCGCGATGTCAGGACCACTGACGGGGCAGAAATCAGACGTCACCAGTCAGGTGTCGCCATCAAACCGAGGGTTTGGCGAATTTTCAGAGGGTTATTCTGTCACTCATTGATTAAGAAGCGATGCCAAGGGAGATTTAGTCGAACGCATCGGATATAATCCTAGTGCGACTGATTAAATATGAAGGCTGCTCGCTGATGATGCATGAATAGAATAAGTTTTCAAATACCCAGACGAATGAAATGAGTGTCACGTCAGTTACCAGGCATTGTTAGCATGTCTCATATTCACCGATCACTCTTTGAGCCGCAAAGTACTTCAAGGTAAGTACAAATTTAGAAACCCTGAAGCACCGCTGCACTGTGTGCAGATTGATACTTCATGGAAGCTAACTTGTTAAAAAGGATAATTTTCTTCTTCCGATCGATGCTCTATATGTAGAGTTCCTCCTTCATTTCAGTAGTCTAACTAACTATCTCAGCATATGTTCAGCAATTATGGTATCAGCGAAAGGAGCACGCAGAGAGTGATACAGCTAACGAGGCTCGTAAGTGATTAGGGCCGCGCTATTCAGTGACCACAAGCCCATCTGGTTGCAAATTGTGGATCACTTTCCTTGTCGGAAGAAGCGTGTCAATGATTTTGCGTCACTTTAAAAAAGAAAGTAGCGTCATCGCCATAGGCATTGGCACAGGTAGCCTATGCGCTGGCGTTTTCACTCTTGACCGTTTGCAAAGAGCTGATGAATAACAAATGAGCATAATTAGTGAAGTGTTTGTGGGTAGCTGTATCCTGTGTAATTGTCTCCGAGGATATTATTGCAGTGTATCATATTCATATAACAGCAATACAGTGTCGTGTGCAAGGAACAAATTATTCTAAAAGCCCAGAAACAAGCATTCTATCACCTCCATAAGCCGTTTAACCGATCTAAATCACCCCATACATATAATTACAGCGACGTTACAAATTGTTTCGTCACTCGCCGTATAACTCTCACTGTGAGCCATTGTCCGTCCGTGCCCAGCTCATCAGGCTCAGTGGCCTGTTCCAGAGTGCCTCTGGGCTGGCCCGCGGACCCGTCATCTAATTCCACTCCCTTCACCTGGCGGATAGTTTGTTCTGGTGTCTCCTTCGGGCGGGCATAATGGACCCGCGAGCCTAGAATGGGACGGAAGTAGACAAACCTGTAGAGCTCGAGGCTGGGCTCTCTCTCTCCCTCTCTCCCCCTCTCCCTCTCTCCCTCTCTCTCTCTCCCTCTACCTCTCTCTCAGTACTGACCACTCGAACAATCGGACATTCCACTAATGAATGCTAATGCGTCGCCGCTCGGGTCAAGCAGGACCGGAATACTTCGCCACAGTCTCACGCCTCGCTCAACGCCGCTTGGCAAGGTGAAAGTGTCGTTGACCAGAGTGAGGTTACGGCTGCTTCTCGGATAGGTAGTTACCGATATTTACATACACTTCGGTCAGCCGGCGGCGAGGAACTTAGCGGAAGTGGTTGATGGGGAGAGAGGTTTCTGTTTATACACGGTGCGTCGTATTCAGGGGAGAAGGATCGGACTGTTTGTCGCTAGATGAAAGGCGGAGAGAAGGAAATGAGAGGTGAAAATGCGATGGTGGAAGGGGAGAAATGTAAACACGATTTATATCATTAGGAACACAACTGACCTCACATAACCAACGGATGTAATAGTCAGAAGCGCTAATTAATTCGACATAATAGCTTAAAAACGACTTTTGCCTATTTATATTTTCATCACTGGATTTTTCATATTAAATTTATTTTTCAGCCTTATAAATTTCCTTAATTTAGTCTGCATTAAAAGCACATATAGGTAGATACTCATTTTATGCAGCGGTGGTAATGAAGTAAATTGTTCAACGCTTCTTATCAAATAATTCGTGTGAACTGGTAAGGTAGGAAACGTTCTACAAAAGTGCAACGTTACTCTAACATCAGCATCAACAAAAAACGTTTATTTTGCGGTTAATTCATTTTAAGTCTCTTTTTCTTGTTTTTTTTTTTATTCGACCGACTACGAGCTACAAACGGTACCATTCAGCGGCTGCGCTTCCTAATTTGTTTCCCATTAGGTACTTTTCACCTCGCCACATCATTCATTGGTCGGTCTGGACGTCAGATAAGCGCGGATCGACACCCCTGTGGTTACGGAGGCCTCCCTGCGCGCGAGGCGGCAGCTCAGATTGAAGACCGGCGCGGGATCAGGTGTTTATTAAGAGATCATTCCATCCGGCAAAATAACAGTGCGCGCCTTCATCAAGATATCGTAATCGAGACGATCAGGGATAGGAAAGTAGAATGAAATGGTGTGATTTCATTCAAGGCGATGAATAGCGCTCAGATGAAGTATAACCCATTGAAGCTGCTTGCATAGCAGTTGAGGTGAAACATGGCCCATTGCATTTGCTTAGCTAGGCATGCACCAAACCTACAAAGAACGAAAAACGTTTTATTGTTGAGATGCATCCCAGTAAATCAAAAGCGAGCCTGTTGCGTCAGCCTTCTAAAAAGTGGACTAGGATAAATATAGTGAAGGTGACTATAAACCGCATAAGAGTGACTTTTTTCGAGAGAGCTCACGACCTTTTTTGCTGTGAGCTGAGAGGCTTTTGGGGAGGCATTGTGCTGACTTGACAACTGGGTACCTATGCGGCGGTGGCTGAGCCCGTCCCGTTTGTTGTGACAGGCGTGCTTCAAATTTAAGCCTGTCTCAAATTTTGGCAAACTCAGAGAATCAATAACACTTAGCCGGAGATAACCACTTAAAATGTGCATTTTACGTCTTTTACGTCCGATTTTGCTTCTTCATACGCTACCATCAGCTGTCAAGGAACTCAAAGTTCTCCATATCCTCTGTCTCTGTCCGGGGAGAAGCTGGGTCGGGCCGTCGACTCACACCTGCTCCTCCCTCACATCCGGCGAAATCTCCCCAAAACGCGCCCGGGCACCGCTCGTCCGCGGTGGTATTGACCTTCGCTCCGCTTTCCCCGCGCGGCCGATCGACGAAATCGAATTCCTCGGCCGCCAGCTCGCACCTCGGGCGAGCATTATTCAAACGCGGCGCACCGGCGGCTAACTAGGCGCGGCAGCGGCGGGCAGAGTGGCGATTTGTGACGTCACGCCAGACAGCTGACCCAGAGAGCTGGACACGGCCGGCTCTCGGCGCGGTGCGGCTCTAAACGATGCTAATACGGTGCCCGCGGCCCGACGCTTTCTCGGCTGCTCGGAGACGAGCGGCGGGCGGCGGGCGGCGTCCGTTGACCCTCCCCCGTGACTGAGTGAGCAGGAGCTGCTGGGGGCAACTGGTCAGTGAGTTGGGTTCATCGGCTGGGCTCGGCTCGTTTAGTGAAAGGCCAGCTGGAAACGTTCGAGGGATGCCGAGGTGCATTACCGCGAGGCATGGAAATATCCGTCCCGGCCTCCGCTCCGCCCCGCCCCGCCTCCTCCGCCGCCTCTGGGTCTCAGCCTGAACCATCCGGCGCCTTTCTATACTCTCATCCTGAGATCCGGTCTTCACCTCGCCTGGGGACACCCTCCCTGACAGATTTTGGAGGAAACTTCCGAACGTGGCTGTCGTGAAATGTCCGCTGTTTCCTCCCAAGACCCAGCTGGCGAAGTTTCGGTGGATCAGCTTCTATCCCAGCCATCTGCCAGTCACGGTCACTTTCCGTCCGCCGCCCCCAGCCCCGCCTCAACCCCGCCCCTTACCTCCAAGTCGCCCATCCCCCAGTCGGAAGTGTTTGCCTTCTCGTCCGGCTTCGTTGGAATCGGGCGGGGGCGGAGGCGGGGGCGGGGCGGGGCGGGGCGGGGCGGGGCAGGGGAAGGTAGCGACGGAACCGACGCGATCACCTGTGACGTTCGTCAGCTCGAGACGATCAAAAGTCGCTTTTCAGTGACGAAGATTTGTCGATTCGTCGCCTCTCGAGGCACCAGGACGGACGTTTGTATACAAACACTAAAAATTGGAGAGTACCACGTGTCAAACGTAATGGGGGTTATTGATGACGGAGCGTGAAATGCCCAAGAGCGGGCCGTGTGCGCACATGGCCGTATTTGTGCGCTGTCCTACATGGGACCGATTTGTTTCGAGTCTGCGCACCTCGGACCACTCTGAGGAATGTGGATGTGCGCCGGCCGGACCAATGATTGGGGTCGCTTTTTGTCAGACACCTGCGAGCTGGGGATACCAATGGGGAGCCTCGCCAGCCGAGGAATCTAAACGGAATGCGCGTGCAGCAATTAGGTGGCAAAAACAAATAAGGTGTAGTGTAAAGCAGCGCCACAAATTGCACACACGTGCCGACGATTAACAATTTCTGCAATGGGCTTATTCGTAGGTATATTGATGTCAAGGCTTTATGATGTCTAACTTTTGCCCCTCAGCAGTGACGCATCAACATTCGAGGAGTTTCGCATTGATTTGATTTCAAATTTATCTGTAACGAAGCAACCATGTAAAAACGCGAACGGTCGATGATAATAATTAAATTGGTAAATAATATATTTTGTATGAAGCATAAGAAAATTGTTTGTAATAGCTGTATGACTCTCTGGCAACACCCGTATCCCACCCGTACCCGTAATACCCGTATCTCACGAGCCCCGTCACCCCGTTTGTCCGACAGTTCGCGCCACGCCCGCCCAGTTCCGCGGCGGCATCCCGGCCTTCTCGGCCGCCTCCTCCGCCTCGGGAGCCAGTCTGCCCACCAGCAGCCCTGCCGTCTCCGATACAGCCTCCGTCGGAGACAAGTCCACCGGAGACGACACGTCTCCCCAGCTGGAGACAAAGGCCAGCCGACCCAGGAAGCGCAAGGAAGTCGAGAAGCGCGCCTCCAATTCCAGCGGTGAGTCATGGGGGGGGGGGCTAATGGAAGGGGACGGGAAGCATGGCTGGATTTGCTTGTCACCCTTAGGCGATCCAGTCAAGTCAAGGTAGGCTTGGGTCACAAGTCAACGAACTGTGAAGCGGGATAACCGCGGTTAGGTTACCCAATTTGGCTACGGTTGACCCAGCTGTGACCGAACCACCACCCATTAACGGCTTCTATTATAACAACCGCGTGCCCTTGTCTCCCACACTCTTCGATCATCGGATTTAAAGTGTCAGTGCCGGTCGCGGTCGGCCGCAGTGTGGCACCACGCTGAGGGTTGAGGACCTGACCTGACCTGACCGGGCCGGGCCGGGGCGGGGCGGGCCGTCCTCCCATTAGCACCGGGTCGTGACCGGCGCCGTGCCGCGCCGCGCCGTGTCGTGACGAGGGCGTGACGCCGGCGACAGTGTCGTTACGGTGTCGTTACGGTGCGGGGATGCCGTCCGCCCGGGTGGAGCCGATAACAGTAACTGAGCTCGCGTCGTGACCACGCATTTCGACTCCGAAGTGAACTGGAATTTATGGCGCGCGCGAGCTGTGGTTAACGGTTGACACCCATGGTCGCCGCTTCTATTTCTTATAGCACGGATTGTTCGTTGAGATGTGTCGACAATTTGTCGCGCGTGTAAAGCTTCAACTAGCCCAGTGTCCCTATCAATTTGATGCATATCTAACAAAACGGCACAAATTTCATGCGAAATGCTAGGGACAACGGGAAAAATAAAAATAGCATGAAGACTTTGGAAAATATGATACGCTATTTTAGTTATATTAAAAAGCACATACAGAGGCACATTCACACATTCAATCGTAACTTTCTTTCAATCGCCTGTATGTATAATTGATGTATTTCTCGTTTCCCGCTTTAACACTTTTGACAAACGATGCAACGTCGTGCATTCAATCAGTTGAATTCGAGGCCCGATTGAGATGCAACGAAAACAATCGACACGGAAACTGTCAACAACTTAACCGTTCGTACCTCTCATTTCAATTCACTAGCATCGAGTGATTCGACATTCAACACGGAGTATGGATCCTTTCCCCAATTTGAATTCATGAGAAGTGGGTCCAAGCTCGGTACTGCATTGCTAAGTATGCGTGAGATTATCACTGTATTCAAAGCATAGATCAACGTCTTCCCTGCCGGGGCATAATCATCAGAAACACACCACAGCGTCCGATCATTGAGCGACCTCAGCCTGTGAGGAGAGAAGAGGTGATCGCTGTTGTGATCGCCGTTATCACTCGTAACGTTTTACGACAAATTCAAAAAAAGAGAAAATCAAACTACCGAATCGTTGGCCTGATTCGACTGAAAATGATAGAACGCACGGGTCATCCCGCCCGAATTCTTTATCCGAATTCCGCTCCAATTTCTGTGCTCGGCAACTCCTGGTCAAATCCGACCCTTATAATGCCTTTTCCGTGCCCGGGTTATGCAGGTGTCCCTCCCGAACTGTCCCATCTCGGTCCTGTTGCCGCCCACAGTCGAATTCCTGTCCGTCTGGCGACCGTCTCCAACCACAAACGAGGTCGTGGAGCATCAGATAACATCGCGACCCATGTCCGAGATGAAAAGGAACAAAATCTGCCGCTTGGGAGGTGCTCTGATTTTGTGTGTGTGTGTGTAGAATTTAAAAGGCAGATAGGGGAGAGCGGGGTCAAATGTAACACGGGGCAATTGTAACAGTGTTAATAATTCATAAACTTACCAATAGAATGAGCTGATGTTAAGACCGAAAATGCCTAATTCTATACTGCCTTTCCCAACGGAGTTTGAAGCGAAAGTGCCGGGTATGTCGATGGCTGTGCACAGTAATGTGTTTTTGAGTGCATTTTATAAATTTGCATACCGTTATATTTGATTAGCTCATTCCCGCCATTGAAAAGATATCGACTTCAGACTTTGTGTGAGCGTTGGCAGGCTTGTTGTCCATAAATTGAAAGCATTAAATGCTGTACATGCAACATCTTTATGCGCCAGTTTCGTCTAAAATATGTCAAGGCGCGACGGGGACAATTGTAACATTTTTGCAGGGGTCAAATGTAACAGGTTATAGGTCAGTGGCCATTATGTCAAAGTCGTCAAGTTTTCAAGGGAGATGAAACATTGCCAGAATTAAGAGAGCTGTAAGTTTTGTCGCAATCGGCAGCTTTTTACGCGATTTATTTGCGAAAAACCGAGGGAGAGGAGGTCCATACAACCCCTGTATAAGTGCGAGGTTTTAAGCCTTTTTTTCCTGAGAAGAACCGTCTCTACCAAGTCTGGGAAGATGAACAAGTGTTCAATACTTTTGTTAAATCAAAGTTTTGGGAAAAATTGTGTTGCTGTAGCCTGTAAATTAGCATGTTACAATTGTCCCCGGGTGGTGTTACTTTTGACCCCGTATCTGGGGTGGATTGTAACAGCTGAATTGACTTTTTCGGACAACAATTTTGACCCAAAAAATAAGTTATTTCGGGAATATTTTAACAGCATTTTAAAGACAAAACATCATAGTTTCTGAAAATAAAAGATAGAGTTTTATAACTGCAAACGTGTTTGCACCAGATGATAAAATGCAAAAAATGTTACAATTAACCCCGTTCTCCCCTAGGTGCCTTGAAAGTTGATAGAATTAATGTCATCGGCTTTGCGATAAAAATACATTTTCGGAGTGTTCAGATCGTTGCACACAAAAATAGTTATGCTAGCCGTTCATTATCATTCTATCTGTGCAGCGCCCGAGATGCCGAATGAATTTACCAGGACAGGCGTTTTCGGTCTGATAAGACCATCCCAGAGTCATTGGATCATACAACGATAAAGAGAGCAGGCTTTCGATATAAGCTTTCAATATAGCAAGGTGTAGCTCCTCGCAGCTGAACTATAAGCTAATATGAAAAGATTTCGAATAACTTCGTGAGCAGTGAGCACCCAAGAGCATGACTCAGCAACTCTACAATGGGTTGCACTCGCATCATATAATGGCTCCACAAAACAAGTGGCCTGACAGGTGGTTAAAAGGTAAACAATCGCCCCCACCATTGGCATTTTTGACCATGACTGGCTGCGGACGGCGAGGATCCGGGAAGCGGCCGCAGTACAGTGGCTGTCTGTCTGTCAGGTCGAGGGAGAGAGTCTCCGCGTCAACATATCGGCCGCTATCTTTCCGCCTCCTCGCCCGGCGATCTTCGCTGACCTATTGCCGTCCTCAAAACGTCCATTGTTGTCCTCTCGGGGCGCGCTGATGGTATCGGTCACGTGACTCGGCCCCACTATATCCGCCAGTGTTCCATCTGGGCGCACTGACGCTCAAAAGACAGGAGAAACGGCGAAGTGAGCCGAGGAGTCATGGTTTTCACCTGGAGTCTCGGGCCGTCTTGCCGTCGAGCGACGCGGGGGTCGTCTCGTCTCCCGCGGCGTCTCTCTCGCCGGTACCACCCCGGAGTCCCGTCTCTTTACGAGCCGGCCGGGAAGGCGATGTTTTCTGGACCAATTCTCCCCGTGTGATAAATTCCCGCGCCGTGCGGGCATGCATCACCCGTGCACGTAATCTCCTTGTTTTCGGTTCGGCTTTCGGTGATAAATTGTGGCACGGCGCCACTGCGGGCGAGCTCGTGCCTCGACCGCCATGCCACCGGCGTTTCCCCGACCCCCGACCTCGCCCACAAAAACGGACGCCAAATCGGTGACCCGGGGTCACATCACACGCCGTCGGTGACCCAGCATCCTTGGCAGCACCTGGGGCACCGCCCGCCCGCCGCGGAACACCCGCCTTCTTTCATAGCCCAGTCGGTCAGTCATTTGCCAATACCTCCGTCTGCAGTTAGCTTTTATTTGTAAGTCCTACCAACCCTTTCTGTCCGACACATCACGCTTTCTTTCCGGCCGCACCGTTTACCGCCTCGGTCACACGAAAGGGTCCGCTCCACTCGCTCCGGTGGGGAGCCGTGTGACAGCCCTGGGGTGCGTTCACGCACGTCTCACCTGCGTGACGCCCCAGTTCGGCTCCGTGGCGCGTGGTGTGACAACATTACAGAACTCGTGTGACCGGATGCTACACGGCGCCGGCCGGGGAGTGGTCGAGTCGCCGCACGGTAGAACGGCGACGGCCTATAGCCCGGGGCGGTGGACGGTGGAGGGTCAACGATGGGCAGGAGACGGTGGACGTGGTACCGCGTTCAAAACAGTGGCGAGCACTTATTCGTGTTTATTGTTTTGTGGTACAAGTTTTACATGAATAACTTCAAATTCATGCCTTACCGCACGTCACTTCTATTTGCGTCTATTTACATTAAATTACTGTGTACGTTAAACACAGACAAAGCTGTGTCATTTTCCAAAGCAAACAACCATGTAAAAGTCTCAATTACTCTCATCTAAGGACTAAGCAAGCTAACCTCAAAGCATATTTTATCGGAGGTTTCGTCTAGCGCTTGTGGCGTAATCTCCGTCTTCTCGTCCACTATTTGTCTTCACACTCTCTCGATTGTCTCGGTCGACACTCGAACCTCACCCAGTGACTAAATTCAGGTCATATGCCTCTCAGCCCACCACGTCGGCTGGCGAGCGGCGGGAGGTCGCCTTGCGCCAGCATCCGAGCTTTATTACAGTACCTGTAGCTCGGAGCTCCAGCGGCGCCTCTCGGGGTGTCTCTGGGGGGCGTCTCTGGGGGGCGCCTCTCGGGCCGTCCGCCGCTCCGGGCGCCTGACCGTCTGCTCTCTGCGTGTGGCGGGAGCCAGACAAATGGCCCACGGAGCCGGCAGAGCCAGGGTCAGCCCCGGCTGCAGCTCCTCCGGCCGGCGGGCCGGGCTTTCACTGCACCGTGCCACGCTGGGTCAGCTAATAGATGCCAGAGTTCACCCCAAAAACAGGCGCTCGATCAAAAACAGAGGCCTGACCTCTCGCAGAGTGGCGACCAGAAATGCCTGGGATGTTTTTCGGGGAGAAATTACCACAGAGATAGATCATAGCGGCTAATAGTTCTGTCCACCAGGGAAATGGTGCCACATTGCACTTAACGTCCAGAGCTGTGAGTTGTTTATTGTTAAAACTGTGTCAAAGCGCCATTTAAATGCCTTCTTTTGATGGGCTGTCAGAACTAGCTGCTCAAACGACCACTCAGTGTCGATAGTGATTGATCGGTTTGATTTCGGACAATAACTTACACATGTGAGCCGGCGACACAGCGTATTGTTAAATTGATTGATCGCTGGTATATGAAGTTGTATATAAAATAGCCGGAATGACTTCTAGGCCTGAAGGTATTCTGAATGTACGTACCACTGCATTGAAGGGCTTTATGGTTCGAGAACAGATGTGGTTGCTGTTTAAATAATTAGAAATGGTACATCACTGGGCTGAAATCGGATTAGAAGTCGCATGGGTCGAGTGTGTTCCCAATATTTTCAGTCCGCACCTGCCTCTTGTTTGCTGTGGTCGAGCACAATCCGCCATCCGTGACACTCCCTCAAATATCACCACCCGCAGGTGATATTTAAATACACAGGGAAAATCGTAAACAAAGGGGCTGTTCTCACAAACGGATATCATGCATGTACAAACGGATACCATACAAACGGTACGATTTTCATGTTCCCATTATTCATCAATATTAATTTGAACGTCTAATTCGCACCGTGACCGTCTCTAATACCTCTCATGTCTGTATCTCCCCACTCACCCCTCCCCTCTCTCGTCTACCCGCAGCGGACTCTCTGGTCTCGGAGCCGGAGACGGCGTGCTCCAAAGGTCACGTGCTGCCGCTGCCCGGTGACCCGTCCACGCTGCGCCGGAGGGAGATCAGTCAGCTGTGCCGCCAGGTGGAGTCTCTCCAGGGGGAGGTGCGCTCCGCCCAGCTCACCATCAGCCGCTGCAACGAGCGCGAGAGGCAGCTGAAACACAAGTGAGCTAGACGGGATGGACTGGGGTGGGTGGAAGTGGGGCTTGTAAGTTTAAACTCTTGAATAGTGAACGCGAGACCTCTTATTTGATTTATACCCATAATATTGTTTGTTTTTACGTTAAGTGAAAAGGCTTTGGTAAATGGTAACAGTTCATATAATTCATATTTCGAACTTGGTTGTGATAAATACATATTAAATACATATATTCTTATCCGAGGGAGAGGTGCTGCAACGTCTATTTTAATTCGCGAATGTCACTCCGACCTATTTATTTTGAAGTAGGCCCCGGTCGCCATCATCTCACGTGTGGTTTGACTGTTTGCTGTGACGCCACAAACTGCCTCGAGAGGTGTTATGACCACATCGTATGTAAGCCGTGCCTCGTTTTATTGTGCCGAGTTACGAAGTACCTACGAGTGGGAAATGATTCGATTCGCTCAGGCTCCTACGTAGCGGTACTGTGGGGACGAAACGGTGGGCGTGGGAACCCCGTTCCCAGGACGAGTTATTTTGCATAATTTCGCTTACGATGAATCGAAGCAGCCAACCGTTCAGTTGGGCATTAGTCCACGGTAATTTCATAGTCAGTAGCCCCCACATGCTGAGAAGCTTCCATAATTTCGCCGGCGCATTGATTTCACACCCTGTGATGAGCCTTGCCGGTCCGTTGTCGAATCGCTTTGCGGCGAAGCTCTCGCGACTGTGTCGACTTGAAGCAGATTGAAAGCCGCTCTCATCCCATTGAGGTTGACTAGTCCACACTCATGTCTCATGCGAGAGTTATGTGTTTCCACCTCACCGACTTCAAATCCGTGTCAGTCTGCTCCGCTCTCATCCATGTTTCACGATCTCCCGATCGGTCTCCGTTCAGTTTAATCCTGTTTACGCCCTGTCCCCCAAAGCCCTTCTCTTCTGCATATGCTCTTACCGTCGTTCGTATTTACGCTGCTTGTGAGCCCCAACTTTCTCTCTTACGCATTTTCCACTCCATAGGCCGTCCTACCGATCGTCATATACAATTGGCTTTGGACGTCCTCTCCCATATGATTCTTTGTTATATATTTTGCTATTTTTATGAAGTATTTGTCTGTACTTCTTTAACCGCGTGTCTGTCCCGGCAGATTATCTGAGCACCAGCGCTCGGAGCCGCAGCACCAGCCCCTCTCCCGGACAGAAAATGTCACCTGTATCGACATCGATAACCGGTCAGCGGGCCTGATCCGCCGTTTCGGGGCGCTCTACTCACACGGGAGAGCCGAGGCCATGGCTGCCCTGGACGCGCTGCCCGAGCTCAGGAACTCAGAGGAACTCAAGTCCAAACTGCTCTTCAGCGTGGTGGTGGTGAGTTAAAGATAAGATGTGCAGGGTTGTTTAGTCGGTATGTCGGTGTATTTATGTGGATGCCCGCCACTGGCCTGGAAGGTGTCGATGGTTTTGGAAAAGGTAATGCTCAGTGTTGCACATAGCGCACATAACACATTTTCATTTTTGTTTTGCTTTTATGTGCAAGATCAGCTGATCACGCACATATTTTGATATCACAATGATAATTGTCAGCAAAACTCATGAAATTAGAAGAGCGAAACGAGACCCTATCACTATATTTCCCTCTCGGTAGCATTCAAGCTGCTACGCAATATTTCAATGACAAGACACGTCTGCTTAGGTTTCATAAATTATATTTGAAACGTGTGCGTGACATTCATTTCTCACTATGTTCTAGCAACTTAGCACGTCGTTAACTGGTCTGTTATCTTGTTTGACACCGTCCAGAGCGTCGAATCACTTCGTTTTGAGCCTTTCCCTTCAGCAGACCTCGCCATGATTCATAGCAGTGCTATGTAATGGATGACCCCATCCATTACCTTTTACCGACAGAACAAATTCTCGTCCGAAGCAATTCCATGAAAGTGAACAACAGCTTCCTTTTCTCCGCGCGGCCTCGGTCCCGAAGATTGAGTGTTGTTTGGCACCCCGCCCGTTGACACTCTCCTACGTTCGGTTGATTTCTTACCGATATCATAATCATGTCGTCGGTCAGTGAAGCGAGAGAAACGCTCCGCCACTCACTCTCTTCTCGCAGACGGCTCCCGTTCGAAACACTCCCGATCGTATCCCGGCTTCTAAAACAGCGTCTCTGCGACACTTAAGTGAAAGAGAAAAAGATTATCCCTCGAGAAAGAACTCGAGTGAGAGCGAACGTCGCCTGGCGCCTCGTCCGCTTTGTTATCGATTTCTTCATGAATGGCCCATTCTTGCGGCGAGTCTAAGTGGCAGGAAGTGGTCATTACGTCTCTGTGGGACGGGTTACGAGTTTGGGTAATGACAGGCTTGTCAGAGCCGCTGGCTAGTGGCGTCGGCTGGAGTGGTCACCCGATCAGCGTTACCACGCCCCTGCCACCGCAGGCCGATGATGGTCAGTAACGACCCGTGACGATTCGTGATAACCCGTGACAAGCCGTGACGAACGGTGAGCGACCCGGGATTAGCCTGCAGCCGACCCGTGATGGGTTAATGACGACCCGTGACAGGGCCAATCTACGATCCGGGGATGACTTCATGTAATGGCTGTAACGGGGACGGGGACTGTCCGTCGAAAACCTGTGGATCTTTCGTGAAATGACGTCACAAGTACGCAAAAGTCGCGCGAGTATAATTGGCCAGCCACTCACTCGATAACGAAATTCACTTGGAATTTACTCTACGTCACAAGAAAAGTGACTCCGTACTGTCTCATACCTGACCTAAAGGCATGCCACATGGCCCAAATTCGCACACCTGACGTCGCGTAAACAGCCACTTGTTTTCCCATTATGTAGAAACGAGTCTAGAAATGACAGTCACGGGACTTCGGAGTCTGGCTGTTTGGAATTCCGTAACACCATCGGTTATGAAACTGAAGAGACCTTGTGCTGTTTTTCGGTTCATCGGTTATTGGCGCTGGTGTCTTCGTGTGACACGGTTTTATCGCACGAAACAAAAGGCGCCGGGACATCGATTTAATTTTCTCGCCAACTGGTTTCCCTCAAAACCTCGCATACCTACCTACTAACCTCTCAGCCTTTTTCAATTGTCATCGGTCTGTTTCGTAGGCATACTCCAGCCGACCCTGACAGCAGCTGATCAATGACCATGGCCTGCATTTCAACAAACTGTTTCCATTGTCCGACTGTTTCTCGTGTTTCGGCAGCCCTTTTCCATATAACCGTGACTTGTATGACCGCCCCAGCTGACCTGTGTCCCAGCTGACCTCTCCCCGTGTCCCAGATGACGTCTCCCTGTGCCCCAGCTGACCTCTGCCCGTGTTTCAGCTGGCGTTCCGCTCAGTGACCTCGGGTCAGCAGGCGGTCAGGGAAGTGGTCCGACGGCAGCTGCAGATCCCGCCGCCCCCTCCGGCCTCCCACCCTCAGCCGCCGGGCAGAGGGGACCCGACGGCCAGTGAGCGCAGCAACCAGCTCGAGCGCACCATCACCACCTTCCTCCAGCAGACGGTCGACACGTACGACCTCTCCAACAACGTGGAGGTGAGAGCTCGTCAGAGCAGTCAGGTCACCGGCGACCGTTTGAAAACCGTCCTCCGCCGCCGCGCCGAGCGAGAGTAGACCGGTTTTTAATCGTATTCTGCACGGCGTTTAGCGCCGTTTAGCGAACTAAGGACTTAAAGAGTGAAATGTAAGCCTGTTATCTAGTGATAATGTAAAACTCTGTTAGCCGCACCTGTCTAGAACAACTTTAGAAAGTTGTTAGAGCAATAATACCTACAAGACATATGTATGTAGGCATCAGGGATGCGGAGCCGTGGAAATTTCAGACGGCTCCGGCTCCGGCTCCGGCTCCGGAGAAAAAATCGGCTCCGGCTCCGGCTCCGGCTCCGGGTGAAATGTCATGGCGGCTCCGGCTCCGGCTCCGGCTCCGAGTAAAATGATCCCGCTCCGGCGGCTCCGGCTCCGGCGGCTCCGGCTCCGGCTTCTACTCAGTACATCCCCTATGCGATCAATTAAATACGGGTGGAAGAAAAAAGGCGATGGGATTGGTATACGTTGCTTCTGTATTTGTATAACAAGGCTATTTTGAATAGGTACCACATTGTTTTACGCCTTGTACTGTCAAACCGAACTAGGTAAATAATTGTTTCCTCTTAAAGGTAGTGTGCCAGCTTTCCTGGACCGTATGGAGTTAATGGCCCAGATAAGGAGAACCAGATTTTTATATCTTATCCATACCTTCAAAACTCATGGAAACGTCTTAAATTCTTCAAATTTTGAGTACCCTGCGAAATTCGCCCCGACGGGTTGTCGGTCGTACCCTAACCACATTTCACACCACTATGAACAATAAATGCACACACTGAAATCGCTATTACCGATATGCTCATCCAATCAAGTTTCGATAAACCCGTTCATCATCATCTCCTGCGGTTTCGAACACGCCTGTTAGGTGGTGCGGTAGACCGCGCCCAAAGCCAGGGCCCCGGTAACGTGAGGTAGCCGAGTCGGGGCAGCGTGCGCTGACCCAAGCCGGGGCCGCGCGTCCTCCCGGTGTCATGTGATAGCCCGGGGCTGCCCGCGGGGATGCGGTAGACCGCGCCCAAAGCTGCGGCCCCGGCTTGGGTCAGCGCACGCTGCCCCGACTCGGCTACCTCACGTTACCGGGGCCCTGGCTTTGGGCGCGGCTTCTGCTCATACTTTGTGGTGCGGTGGTGGTGCGTAGGGCCGCGCGCTCTGACTTCGGCCAAGAAAAATGCGTCAGCTGATCATTGTCATTTCTGCCACTTGCGTGTGGTGAAATGGGGTCATAACTTAAGAGACGGCTTTTTCATATCAATTATTTTACATAAAATCATATTTCAAACCATAAATAATGTTCGACTGTCAAATAAAAGAAACAATACCAATACAGGCTTACAGTTTAAGGTTCGACATTGTGTTGTCTACGATTAGACAGCTGATAACTCATTCCCGTACGTCGTAACTCTATAATCACCTTTTCTTATTGTCACATGTGCGCCGCATTCGCGATTGTTGCCGACGCCTGTTTGCAGCTCAGCCCACTACAGTTGTTATACATATCGAAAAACCGATAAACTTTTAGGCGAAAAAGGCACTATTCCAGGCCCATTTTTGTTTTTGTTTTTGCGATATTAGGTAAAAACAAAAGCTTCTTATCCTAGGAAAAATAAAATGGGAAATCTTTCAAAGGTGGCACACTACCTTTAAGAAATGGAGCCGGAGTCGCCCCTTTTTTGACGGCTCCGGCTCCGGCTCCGGCTCCGGGCTATATTGTTTCACGGCTCCGGCTCCGGCTCCGGCTCCGGGCAAAATATGCCGGCTCCGGCGGCTCCGGCTCCGGCTCCGGCTCCGGCTCCGCATCCCTGGTAGGCATAGTTTAAGTTGCATTTCCATACACGTGACGGATTCCTATTTTTGACGGTATCATATAACCGTTTATTTGTAAGATACACAAACATACCTATATAACAACTAACTAAGTGTATTACGAATCGTTCAATTGATGATGAGTGATGACCCACCACTCACCCACACTCATCTCACCCCATCTCACCCCATCCGTTTCCCGCACACAGGAAGTATGCAGCCAAATCTGGGCCACGCTGTACGACTACCCGTCACTGCGCACTACTGAGGGTCTACTCAGCTATGTGAAGGAGAGCGTCCGACTGGCCTGGGGACTGATTAACCAGGTGAGTGACGCAAAGCCAGCACTCAGCAGCGTGTGACTGAATAGTGCCATCAACCTGAATGGAACATTACCCCTCTCCCCATATTATTGTTCGGATCGTATGACAGGGATGCATCAATGCAGATATGAACTTCTCTTCTATAGACTGGTTGTGAATGTGATTCTAACCTTTGACTCTGTTGATCTGCCGTTTTAATTCAAGATGGAATTTCGAGTCATGGCTTGACTTATCTGTAGCTTGGATGTCCTTGCTTCATACGCCCCACGCCTATATAGTACACGCATGGAGCGCACCTTATTTTAACGAACCAGTGTCTGAGAATCTACCCAAAGCCCTCACCCCTCAGTATAAGCATCTGACCCGTTTGTCCAACCGCAGACGCCGCCGTGCCGTATCGAGTACGAGGTGCGTCAGTTCAGCAGCGACCTGCACGTGCGGCACCAGGCCTCCGACGCCGGCCAGAGTGTCGTGCAGACCTACGTGTGGCCGGCACTGATGGAGGAGGCGGCGTGCGTCCAGAAGGCAGTCGTCATCACGTGATGACAGTCAGAGTGGCACGGTCGGTCAGGCAGAGAGCGGCCGTGGAGGTGGGTGATGGCGACACGCGAGAGGCGACAGAAGACAACGACGACGACGACTGCGACGGCACCGACGGCCTTCGACGCTCGCGACGACATGCGACGTCCCGCGACGAGCCTTGCCCCTCTGTCCCTCCCCTCACTCTCTCTTCTCTGACTGTCGCTCTTTGGGACAGAGCTGCGTGCTCGTTCCAGGCAGACTTCTCTTACTGTACTTCACAGACAGACAACGACTTAAACGAATTAACTAACCAGCTTTTGAGACGACCGGCTAACCAATTGACCAAAGACGGGACAATTACTAACCGACTTCTCTGTCACTCAATAACAAAGACGAGACCAATTCTGACGCGACAACGACACTTGTCTACTCTAGCTGTCTTTCGTGTGAAATGTCGTCTTCATCTGTGACTGAATCATCTTCGACATTTGCATTGCCTCTGACGCACCATCGTGCTCTTGAGAATGACTCTTCTTTATGGATTGCTCGAAACGTTGTGTATTGTGTTGAATCATCTGAGTAGGTGCGTTTTCGGTCGTTCCTGAAATGCCGTTCGAGCTCTTGAGTAGATTTTGAGTAGCTTATCACACTTACCAATTTGATATATATGTTGGAAGAAATGTTTTGCAATTTGCACTTTAACCCTATTCCTGGCGGGGGGGCCTCAGGAGCCCCCCCCCTGAGGTTTTTTGGTTATTTCTCCCAAACGCGTTGAGCTAGGAAGCTCAAATTTTCTGACTTTTCCTAAAAGGCTTCTACGCAACATGTCTGAAAATTTTGAGTTGATCTGACCTCAGGTCAGGTCACCAGAGGCGGTTTGGTGACCCTACCTCAGAAAAGTTTGCAATCACGCCAGAGCTAGAGTTTTTGACCGATCAATTTCTTCTCTTCAGGCTTTAGTTAGGGTACCAGTATGTGCAATTTGTATATCTCGGAATTTTGATATCGGTGACCTAAGGTCAGGTCAATTTCGCGACCTCCCCATTATAAGTCAATGGGGGAAAAATCAACTCCCCGTTTTTACCACTAAAACGGGTCGGAATGGCCCCATATACCATACATGACTTCATATACGATCAACCTTCACTACCTTGAGGTCTGTTTTGCTGTTGGGCAGCTGTGAGGTCATGTGACGTCATCAAAGGTCACCAAAGGTTTTTGGCCAATAACTCCGTACAGGAACAAGATACAGACGCGTGGATGGTCTCATTGTGTTCAGCTCGTCAAGACGCATCGAATGATATACATGATGACCTCGAGGTCACGTGACCTGAGGTCAACCTTTGACCTTGACCTTTCGAGGTCAACATATATATCATTCGATGCGGATTGACGAGAGGATCACGATGATGCCCTTAGTTTGTTCCTATCTTGACTAATTCGAAAGTTATTCGAGAAAAACTCTCTCCATATCTAGCGCCGCCATTTTGACTTTTTCGACCCCTGTGACGTCATCTTTGACCTGACCTGAAAATGACCTTAGTAAAAATTGTAGATCTTGGCCGTGCGTATCCGATGCCGTTTACCGCTTGTCGCTATCTTGCTTCGTTCTCGAGATCTCAGGGGGGGCCGAATCGGCCCCCCCCCGCCAGTTTCTTGTCCCGGCGGAGCCCGCCAGGAATAGGGTTAAAACAAGGATGGGAGTCATAGCCAATTATACACCGTATATGTGTCAGCACTCGGCAAACATGCACTGTTTTCCACCTTATTCGTGAAAGATAAGCAGCACATATCAGGAGCTCTCAAATCTTCTCATTAGCTACAAATGACACTTCAGGAACTCTTATATTCAGTGATTTTGTGCCGTCCGTCCGTTCCCATACTTTCAAGTTGTCAAATGGCATGATCAAGACGATTTATATCGTATGCATTCATCTTCTTCCAATGCTTTCCAGCGTTCTCTAACTGGAGGGGGCTTGTTAATCCAACCAGGCGTACGATCGTTTCCCGCATCTTTCTATTTACTAACAACACCTCCCATCCCATATGAAGCTCCTCCCTAACGCAGACCTGTTTCCAGATACCACCTGGCGTCGGGGAATGTAACTACAAGTTTGGCGGCGGCGGCTGCTCGCAGAGGGCGCTGCCGTCGTCGCTGCCTGACGGACTGGACCGGACTGCGGACTCTCCGCCATCTGACGGCGGGCTGAAGACGGCCTGTCGACTACCGCTTCAACCGCAGGAAGCCACCTGCGGCTCAGAGGACTTCCGAACCAACTACCGTGCTCCCGCTGGCGTCTCAGAACAAACTTCTTCGCCTGACTTGTGACCGGCGTCTTTACTGAAGCAGCTCCGGCGTTGAAAGCTTTACATCGCCGAGAAAAGCAATTTTGTAATGTAAATACGATGCATTTGTACAGCTTATCTGTGAATACTCTTGTGAATAGCCCAACTTGAACTGTTGTTTAGCGTGTTATGCGGTTGTTATCCTGTCTGTTAGTTGTGAGAGTTACTCGCGTACGCTGTTTGTGGGGCACCGTCGCACCCCGCCCCGCGACCTTCGCTCGCCGGGCGGGCGTGCGCTGCCCCAGGGTGACACAGCCGGGTCGGTCGTCGACCCCCGGGCTCGCTGTACGATCCGACCGGTCACACCCGAGACCAGACGTCTGGGAACGTCTGGAACGTGACGTAACGTTCGACCGAACCTTCCGTGCCATCGACGACCGGTGCTTCCGAGTGTGCTCCTGTGAATGTTTTCGTGTTGAATGGTGATGCGCGTGTTGATCAAATGGGATGAAGTTATAAGATACCTTTAGCTACGGTCAACAATAAAGGATGGTGCTCCGTAGGCCGCACGAACATAATGTGTTATGTATGTAATATGTATATTAGTTGTCGATATTGAATGAGATGGAACCGCAATGTAAATATGTGGCAAGCTCGCACATTTTAACGATTCCAGCAGGCAGGCAGGCTCTGATATGCAAACAGTTATTGTGAATAAGTTATATTGTGCGTGTGTGGGATGCTGCACCATTATCCGGGGGCGTTTTCTGTACTCGCTACGGCCCTCGCGTGTTGTTATAATAATGTATCCGGTATATCCATCCGCTAACAAAGCACATCTGTCCAGTAGTGGCGATACCCGCTGTGGGGAGCTCTCCGTCTCGCTGTCACAGTTCCCTCTAAATAAACGCCGGTCACAGTTGTAACATATAGTTCAGTTTGCTGCAGTGTGGATCACGGTTATACCCGTGCGAGGCACTTTGGGCGGTCCGTGACCCAGACGGACTCCCTCTGAGCACTGAGGGCCGTCCGACGCCACTGTCGGAGTCACTTCAGCCACACACAGACATACAGACACCGCACAGGTGACCACTCACACGTAAATACGGTACGCATAAACAGACACCCACCCGCAAGACTAGTGACAATATAATTCATCACAAAACATCCAACTCCTTTGGACGCCCAAAAATCGTCAACGCCACCTAGCAGGCGTTTGTGCTATGAGCTTATACCAACTGCGCGCAGGATAACTCGTTTCCACGCCCAGAAGCCAGGTACGATTATCGGCAGTGACTGCCGACTCACAACAGTGACAACCTGGTATTGCATGAACCGCTCGAGCATATGTATACTGAGGCACCAATTGCACGTACACACCCACGCACGCACGCACTCACGCTCACATGCACGCTGCACTCGTAGGTGCGGTATTACCTATACTGGCTCGCCGTGTACGCGCGCTATACAATTCGTTAGGGTTGGGGACATCACCCGACACAGCAACTCTGAGTTTTATATACCTGGAGAGACATCCGTTCTCTCCATCCAGCGCTAGCAGCGCCCTCAGCGGTCTCCGTTGCCGCAGTCACCTGGTATCTAAATCTAACAACTCGTGTGCCGCGCGGTCGCCCGGCAGCTCAACAGCCCTCCGCGAAAATGCAGTAAAGGCTGAGCCACCCAAACCCGGCCAGCGTTGTACAATACCAGGTTCCACGAAACGCCAGCGCGCGGGCCACGAAACGCCAGCACGAGGGCTCTCCAGTAAAATATCGCACGCCGTAACAAATCACACGAGGGCTGAATCGAGCCCAGTCGGCGCGCCCGGTACCCACGAGCGCAGCTGAGCAGTGGTGCTGAGCTATCTACCACAGTGGGCTCTGTGGATGGCCTCTATAGCGGCGGCGGGGGCGGCGGCGGCGCCTGCGGCTGGTGCGGCGGCGGCTGCAGCACCGGCGGCTGGTGCTGGGGCTGGTGCTGGTGCTGGTGATCAGACATGTCCACCGGCGGGGCGGGAGCGAAACTCCGCATCGGGTTCAGGTCGAAAATCTCAATCAGCAGCGGCTCCACGTGCAGGGGGTCGACGTCCATGAAGATCTTGATGTGGTCCTCGTTGAGCCGGTGGAGTTCCTCCATCTTTTTGATGAGTTTGAGGAACTCTGAGCGGGCCTCGCACGGGCTCATGGTGGTGAGAAGGTAGCGCCGCAGCAGGTAATAGTAGGACTCCTGAGAAAGGAGGGACGACGCGTCAGCTAAGAACGGCATCAACATTCGACAGAGTACCGTGAATGTCACGGCGAGTACTATTTATCGAACAATATCAAACAGTGTCTGCCCTCAAAACCTGTCGCACCAGACAGTCCAGTGTTCTATTCTGTCCGTGCCAGGATATTTCTGCAATGCTATGATAATCATGTTGTTCGCAACTGCCCAAACTGCCCGAGTACAAACATTAGTACCGCGTGCAGCACGGCGCCGATATTTGTTTCCTATATCCGGTCGCGACAGCTCAAAACAGGGGAAGTGGCGCCCGATTGTTGCTCTGCTGACTATGAGTCACAGACCATCCGCTCTATTAGATAAGAATGCACCCTCTAAAGCAAGACGAGAGGGGTCAAACTGAAATTCACATGTGGTGCAGGAAGTAACCCAGCTAGTGCGGCATGACTTGCAAACTGATTCTGACACAACTTGAATCCCCGGGAGACGTTTTTTTTTTTAAATAATGCAGCGGGGCTGGCTCATTTGGAATACACCAAGTCAGGGAAACATGGAGCCAAGGAAGTTCCCTCGGTACTAGGGTGATTCCATGCTCACGAAAAAGCAGGCCCGCTGGCAGGAAGCCCAATAAAAGGGAAACTCCCATCGGAACTAGGGACTAGAGAGGAACCCTCATATTCTGATTTTCTTTTGTGCTTTGGTGAAATCCCCACTTCGTGACGAGTTCCAAGGCCATGATAGCAGGGCCCAGCCCTGAGTTCGGTAATTTTACCTGAACAACGAGCATATTGCAGTCATAGAGAAATCGCAGCTAGTCACGCTGCACCGAGTTCATTAGTTCCAAAACTTGCGGCACGAGTAGCCTGAGTTGACCGCGTTAGCGCAGGACTAGGACTTATGACAAACCGTGGCCCCACCGTATAACCAGGGGCAGTCAGGAACTTATGTCACACGCACCAGTCACAAACTGAGGTCTAGGTGCCACTTAAACAATAACACATGTGTATTGCCTTTCACACACCCCTCAGTCACACAAAACATTTCATTAGCATTAGTCCTTGACCTTAAACACCAGCAATACTCACCAGCCCTTGCTCACAGCTCATGTCCCCGGCAAAACACAAACTACCTGACAAACTAGCAACCCCCTATTCCCTAGCAACTCCCTAACAACTACTCGTAGCTGACCCTTCCCCACCAGCCAGCCAGCCTCTTTCTTCCCTCGCTCGTCCACTAACCTGCTCCAAGGTGATGGCGTCGACGTGTTCCAGGTTGGGCCGGGACGGACAGAACAGCGTAATGGCGCTGATGATACCCATGATGTAGGGGTCCGTCTTCCAGCGGTGGCTGAAGGTACGGTTGAACTGCTTGTGCTCCTCGTACACGTCGTACGGCGCCTTCTTCAACACGTTCAGCTTGATGCTCGTGTAGTCGGTCTCGTTGGCGCGAATCTAAGCAAGTGATAGAAAAGAATACCCTTAATGCTAGGGTTCCTATGGGTGACGGGTGTGGGCAAAGAATAAAGATACTTGGAGGTAAAAATTGTGATGGATATGACGAGTTGAACGAACGAAGAAATGTGATTAACGAAAACTACGCATAGTTTTATGTTACTTTTGCACCGAGCAATTAACCCCCCGCATTTAGCGAAGGTAGCCCAAGAACACACTCAGCAGCCTGAACTTTATATAAAACAGACAGACTGCACTTCCTAGGATAGGCAAACAGACGCCAATTACACACAACTAAAGATCTCCTACCTCAACAACATTTCACCTCCCAGCCTCCGAGCCATCCAACTCACATTCCAGCTGTTGTTCTCGGCGTCATACGTGGTGACGCTCCTCAGAATCATCAGCTCCGTGCAGCCGCCCTTGAGCAGCGCGATCTGATCCCGCTGGCAGAGACTGCGGAAACTGCTGATCTTCTTCGACATCTTGATCAGCCGCCGGATGGCGATGTCGCACAGGTTGATGACGTTGATCAGGGACGGGTCCGTGTTCACCAGATTCTGTAAGTGAGAGGGACAATCAGGCAGTGTCGAACACAGTCAACAATAACAATAACGTATTCTGACACGCCACGGGCTTTTTCGATTGCCCGATACCGAGACATGTGAGCTATCATTTACATGAAAAAAGAGCGAACAAAACACTGTCTATATGTAAAACCGCGTGCAGATAAGCAGCAGAACATCTGCATCTACGAAATACATTCACACCGAGATATGTATGCCCAATAGCCTCTGCATGCCAATGTCTATACAAATGTCTATATGTCGTATTCCACAATTGAGGCATCCTAATTGCCTACTCCTCTTCCACACTCAGCACGCACATCACGACATATTATAACAGACCACATCCCTCTTTCGCCCACTCTTCCCTGTCACCAGTCCTATTAACCAAATCAACACCATCATCATACCAATCAAACCCCACCCGCCAACCCCCACATCCCACCACTCACCACAAACATATTGTCCTCGTTGAGCGGTGCCATGAGCGCCTGTTCGGCCTCGAACAGCTCGTCAATCTTGTCTCGCTCGGCCCGGTTCAGCGCCCCGGTCGGCAGGACGGGTTCACGCAGCTGGGTGTCACTGAACTCAGCACGGAGTGCCTTGCCCAGGATGGTGCTCATACTGATGGAGCTGTCGATGGAAAAGGGGAAGAAACGGTTAGCTAAGGGGAGACAGGTTTAGATAGTGCGCATGTAACTACTTAGCTCGCATATGACCGAAGTAGACCTT